GCCATTTAACAGAAAGAGATGAGGTAAGCCAGGTGTGAGTTTAGCTRGGAGACCAGACCACTGAGTAGAAATTATTTTGTGGCCATCACCAGGGCAGGCTGGCTTTGCTGATGGCCACAGACCCTCACTGCTCACTTGTGGACACTCTGACTTTCTTTCCTTGTTCTTAACTTGCCCCTATTCCTTCTTCTTCCCTTCCTCTTCCTATTTGGTTTGCACTGGGATCTCCAAGGCTCTGTCCTGGGCTGTCTTCCTTGGTTCTTTTTCCCTTTGAGTGTCAAGGATTCTGCAGTCCACTGTCAACAGCCACTGGCACCTAGGACATCCCATGCACAGGCACCTGCTCTTGGAGAGCATCTCTGCCCCACCTCACCCACAGGTATACACACCACCTCCCCTTCCCCTGATGCCCCTGCCCACCTTGCCCACCCTAATGGTGGCCCGACCACTGTATTGGTACCATCTCTGCCCTTTTTCTTGCCTCTTGCACAATCAGATGCACAGCCTTGTACTTTCCCTTTGCCATCCCTGTCTCCTTATTCCACCATTGCTACCCTCTTGGCATCATCCCTTTCCTATTTCTGGTCCCTTCATTCCAGTATCTTCAACATTTTCTGGTTGCTCTCACACGGAGCTGCCAGAGGTGGCTTCTTCCTGTACCACAGGGAAGATCTGCTTGTGCCCAGGCCTGGCTGTTACATTATCTCTGTGTTCTTGCTCATGCTGTTATCAGTGCCCAGAACCCTTTCTCTGTTGCAGACCCACGCCTCTTCTTAGGCCCAGGTCAAGATCCTCCAGATGAAACTCAACCACTACCAGGGGCTTCTCATTGCCTTTGTACAGTTCTCTCATACTTAATAGCTTTTAAATCATTAACTCCCGCGTTCATTTCACAAATATTTATTGATGAGTTTTATGCCTCAGGTCCTGGAAACACAACGGTGAGAAGACTTGGTTACTTTCCCCATAGTTGTTGCGACCCACTGGAGAGGGGAGATGGCCTACTGCAGGTGTTCATGGGACTTGGGAAGCTCCCCTCAAGATAGCTCTCATMAGTGGCCAAGAAGCAGGCCCAGAGCATACCTAGCTCTTCCAGGGCTGGAACTACCCCAGGCCACTAGAGACTTCACCACACCTCAGGCCTCGAGGCTGCTGACCTTGGGAAGAACCTGCAGTGACTAAGTGTGCCCGCTTCACTCTCTCCTCAGCACCAGCCTCTCCACTCCTCTCGGACTTGGGTGGGTGGTATCAGTGTTTTACTGAGGATGGTCTGTACACCAGCTGTTATTTGGGGTTCCAGCCCATCTCAGAAAAACCTAGATTAGGACCTTTGTTGCCTGGACCTGAAAAATCTACCTTCTAGCAAATTGCCTTCTACTATACAGAACTCTGACCTTCCTTCAAAGAGGTCCACATCCTAATCCCTGGAACCTTTGACTGTCAGCTTAAAAGGCAAAGGGGGGCTGGGGTTGTGGCTCAGTGGTAGAGCTCTTGCCTGGCATGTGTGAGGCACTGGGTTCAATCCTCAGCACCACATATAAATAAATAAATGTATTATGTCCACCTAAAGCTAAATATATATATAATTTTTTAAGGCAAAGGGGATATTACCCTAGACTCTGAGTGGATCTGGTCTAATCAAGTTATTTTTCTTTTTTGGGGTACCAGGGATTGAACTCAGGGATACTCAACCACTGATCCACATCCCCAGCCCTGTTTTGTATTTTATTTAAAGACAGGGTCTCAMTGAGTTGCTTAACACCTCACCATTGCTGAGGCTGGCTTTGAACTCATGATCCTCCTGTCTCAGCCTCCAGAGCCGCTGGGATGACAGGCATGTGCCACCTCACCGGGCATTATTAGAGTTCTTCAAGGCAGAGGTCCTTCCTGGCAGGGGTCAGAAAGAAATGTAATGGTGGAAGAAGGGACAGAGGACCACAGCTGGGCTGGCTTTGAAGACAGGGGTAGAGGAACACAGGGAACCTCTAGATACAAAAGAGGCAAAGAAACAGCTTCTCCCTGGACCCCTGAAGACTGGAGTTTTGTTGAAACCTCAATTTTAGTCCCATGAAACCCATGTTGCACTTCTGACCTGCAGAACTCTAAGAATAAATTTGTGTTGTTTTAAGCAACTGTGTTTCATTATGGCAGCAGTAATGCTCCTCATGTGAGTTTACATATTTAACATTTTAAGAACCTCTGCTGTATAAATCCACTCTTCTACATGATCATTAATGATCATGTTCCCCCCTGATCAAAAACCTGATTTAGCTGGGCCCAGTGGTGAATGCCTGTAATCCCAGCAACTCAGGGGTCTGAGACAGGAGGATCACAAGTTCAAGGCCATCTTCTGCAACTTAGCAAGACCCTGTCTCAAAAATAAATAAAAAAGGATTGGGGGTATAGCTCAGTGGTAAAGTGCTCCTGGGCCCAATCCCCAGTACAAAGTAAAATCTTCTGATTCTAGCTCCTAGAATAACCTGTTGATTCCTGATTTAAATTCTGGAGAGGGAAGGAATAAATGGATAAAGAAGTCTGATTGACATGACTCATTGTTTTTTATTCCAGGACAATTCATCGGATGCTCTCCGTTATGGATTGGCTGTATCCTATGACCAGATGCCAGTCCCTAATCTAGTCAGCTTGGGAAATAAACCACAGCCCCTCTGACCTGCCTTTGTAGCCAGGGCTATGGATGTAGGAAGCAGAATGGCTGATGTCTAGGACAAGGTGCAGTGCTCTTGTAGGGCAGGAGATACCTCAAAGAGATGACAGCTATGGGGCTGAGACTGAAGAATGGGTCTGGGTTTGCCAGAGCATGGAGCAGACATGGGTGCAATTCCAGGCATTTAAATGCTTCAGAGAGCCGGGCCATTTGGGGGCAGTCAGCAAGCAGCTTGGTGTTGCTGGAGTAAAACCTACAGTGGGTAAAGGGGACAACAACCCTTTCCTGGGACTTTTATAYGCCTCACTGCAGGCCAATCCTTATTTATTGATTGATTGATTGGTAAGCCAGGGGGGAACTTTGAGAGGTAAAGATGGATTGATTGGCAGTACTTTGAAGGGCAGACTGGGAATGTTTGAAACTAGACAACAGAAGACATTCTTGTTCCCTCCATCTTGAGTCTGAATTTCCCAAAGCCAGCGGCTGGATTTATTTCAGGGCTTGACTGCAAGAAGCAGGAAAAGGGAGAAATGAAGGAGGGAAGGTTCCAGAGGAGGAGGGGGAGAAGTTTTTGAGGCACTGAAGACAAACAAGTGTGCCAGGAACTTTGAAACTTCAAGAGAACTATTTTGAGAATAATATTTTTCTTTTTCTTTTTTTTTTTTTTTTTTGATGGCTTCTCATCTTTGGCAACCCCTGAAAAGCAAATTCTGAGAATTATCCAAATTGGATTGAACTCCTTGGTGTCTCATAATACTGAAATTTTTCTAAGTATTAAAAACAATAACAAACATAATAAGAAAGTCCTACAAAGTTCTGATTTTGCCATTTTTGAATATCAGATCCTTTTCAGAGGACTATTTTTATTTGATGCTGAGGTGGACTTGCCAGTGGGAAGGAGGCCTGGGGCAAAGGCACGGGACCYGCCTTGGGGATTTGGAAATGAAGCCTGCAAGTAGCCAGCATGGAGCAATTCCCAGTAGAACACGTGGGAATCTGTGAGGGAGCCGCAGTCCCCAGGGCCCGTGCACAGCCAGAGCTTGCTTCATCAGACACCAAAGCCATGTCAGGCCCAGTGTGGCAGAGACACATTCATGGATTTGAGTTCTAGGAACGTAGGACACATGACAGTCCCCAGGATAATCAGGAAGCAGCCACGCTGGAGGCTCTCTAATCAGGCTAGGGAGGCAGGTCCAGGTTGCAACTACTGAATAAGGACGCAGATGCCTCCCAACTGTATCAAGGCCCTTCAGGTTGGTATGGGCCAGAGTTAAGAAGAAATCAGAAGCWGAAAGACCTTTAGTGTGTAATGGGACTTTTCTCTAGCTTCATCCTAKTCTGTGGAAACCCAGGGTCATAGTCACAAACACAAGTAGAATGAGATTAGCAGTTACATTTGGGCAGTTTGAGATCATATATATATAGACTGCTTTGTGTGAGTCCCTTCCTCTCTCCTAATTTCTTGTTTTCTGGGCTGGAGATTGAATCCAGGGATGCTCTATTACAGAGCCACATCCCCTGCCCTTTTTATTTTTTGAGACAAGGTCTTACTAAGTTGTCYAGGCTAGCCTTGAACTTGCAATCTTCCAGCCTCGGCCTCCTGTGTCTCTGGGATTACAGGCTTCCACCACTGTACCTAGCTAATTTTAATACAAAGCAAGAAGGAGAAAAAGATTGTAGCCTAAGAGTTCAGTTCCTGAGAGGACCAACACTATTCTCCCACCATTATCTGAAACCCTCCAGGCAAAGAAGCAAGGAAGGCTTGGTTTTTACAGCAGTGAAGAGACTGTTTCCATTTCCTCAGGACTGACACCAATGGATTATAAATAATTCTTTATTATGAGTTTACRTAGTGCTTGACATATAAAATAAATTTTATTTAAGTATTTAAAATAGTTTCTGAATATAGAAGCAATTTACTCTTATTATTGCTAAAATAATATTCACATACAAACCTTTTAAATGTGAGGAACCACTATGCTGTATGCACAGGAGAACAGTCAGTAGTCTAATAGTGCTGTTTACCAGAGTAGTGTAAACTTCTTTCAGAATCAAGGAATGATCCTAGATTACCCATGGAGAAAAATATGTACTATTCTTTTAGGCCAGTGACGSTCACATGGGTTTCTTATCTACCTATGGGTTGGTATGTAATGGTCACATGTGTGCTTCCCTTCTCAGCTTTAAAAGCCACAACACCAAATCCAAGTTGCAATATCTCACCCCAAACCCCACTAATGTATATATATTTGGATCCTGGGGATTGACCCAGGGGTGCTCCACTATTGAGATACATTCCCAGCCCTTTATTTTTTACTTTGAAACAGGGTCTCTCTAAATTGCTGAGGCTGGCCTYAAACTTGCCATCCTCCTGCCTCAGCCTCCCGAGTTGCTGGGATTCCAGGTATGCGKCACTGCATCAGGCGCCTTGCTGATCTTTTCRGGTGTTGTGTGGCCCATCTACCTTTGTYAGACTTAGAGACATGCTTAATGGTCCCACTCGCTGGGGCTCTGCTCATCGCTGTCTTCCTCTGAGTCAGCAGACACTCTCTTGATTCTTTGGAATGCAGCTTTAATGCTCCTCTCTAGGTCACTGGTTGGCTTGTCGCTGAGGCCTGAGCCCAAGTCTGTGTGGACTTTCTTTAGTTTCACCCCTTGTCCTATGGCAGCCAGAATGTGCTCGTTGACTGACGTGCGGGAAGCAGGTGAAAAGGGCACTTCCGCTTTCTGGAGAGGGCTTCYGCTGTGCCTTAAGGAGGCCAACACTTCATCCATAGATCCTGAAATTGAGCAAACAGAGCAAGTGCTACGTCAGTATCATGCTGCCAGAGCATTACTGTGCTAAAGCTAGGAAAAGCAGTTAATGCCATGATTCAAATAATCATCAGTCCATTTGACAAAGCGTTGGTTACCTGTTAGACAGACCAATGATAAGCTCTCTGAATCCAGGACAGTCGTTCTGTTTTGTGGCTGTGGTGCTGGGATAGAACCCAGGGCCTTGCACATACTTGGTGAGTCTCTACSAACCGAGCTACTTCCCCAGCCCCAGGATATTTAATAGCTCATATTCTATCTTGACTACTTACTTTCCACTACCGTCTTCAAAGCCCTAGCAATTTTCAGGAACAGTCATATATACCTTTTGTTAGAATGACTGCTTTCAAGACACCCTAAAGAGAGTTATAGATGCCTGGGGTGGAAATAATAAGACCCACTGTACCTGAGTTAGATCCCTCTAAATTTATCTCCTCCATTTCTCTTTCCACTTAGAAAATATCCTTTTTTTTTTTTTTTAAATGTACCCTGCTGTATTTCTCTAACTCCAGTCTTGGATATTAGTCATTGATGACYCATTCTGTGACAATGAAGTGAGTAGGTTTCCACACACAAAAAGGCTTGAAGTAAAATTCTAATCAGTGGCTCAATGAACAGGGAGGGGGTGGCCCTGGCACTGTTTTCTGTGTAGTGTTTAATTCCACCCACGTCACCCTGGAGTGGTTACATGCTCTATTTTTAAGGGTGTGAATACTGTCAAAACACACATTAGCTCAAAGTTTCCAGATACTGGAGAGAAGCTATTTTACACTCTGACACCCTGAGACCCTGAAAAGATAAAATATTTATCTCCTACTGGATGCAGGAGTAAGATGTGGCCATTAAATTAGACATCTTCCAGGGAGGCCTTCAAGATTAAGAGTCATTTCTAGTTGGCTGACAAGGGCTACTTCACTTTGGATTTAAACCTATAACTGATGACAATTCCCCTCTGGGAGTAATAGGTTTCATAACCACGGGCATTTTCTGGCACTAATTCAYACTTTCTTCTTATTCTCAGTGTTTGAGTTGAATAGAGCCCCCACAACGTGAGAATTAAGCCTGAGCTAGAACAGGTACCCCCATCAACCTGCCTACACCCAAACTCTTGACATAGACACAGGCACACAAGTGCTCACTTTCCTTTCATGTGATGTTATCACAAACCTTGTGGAAAAGGGCCATTGGGTCTCCACCTGAGAGAGTGACATTTTCAATTGTGCCTGGGGCCAGTAAGTGTACATAGTATTTTGCTAAGATTTATTGAACACACAAACCCTCCTAAAGCAGTAGGCTCCAAATCTGGGCACGTTTAAGCTGGTATCCTCAACAGTCTATGTATGAAGTGATGATTAGAATCATGGAGAACTACAGCCTTGTTAAACAAATTTTCAAATGTATTCAGTTTACTGTACTTGCTGACAAAAAGTGACCCACTTTTTCCCCATCAGTCATTCTACATTCTGGCTAATACACAATGCAATAGAATATAACAGAATAATGTGCAAGCAGTATCCTTCTTAAAATGCAACCATTTAATCCTGTAAAGGCCTCAAATGCAACAGAAAATCTACAGTAAAGCAGTACTGAAAATTCAATGGCAGAAATCAGATACATACTGAAGTGTTAAGAAAACTAAAATATACTGAGTGTGTGTGTGTGTGTGTTGTGCTAGGGGTGAAACCCAGGGCCTTACACATGCTAGGCAACTGATGTACCACGGAACTACACCCCCAGCCCCTGAATAGACTGATTCTTTAACAGCCTCAGAAATCCCGAGCCACATGAGCAAAAGAGATGTTTTTTTCAGGCTAAGTTAGCATTCATCAAACTCGGRTTGTACAAACTACAGTGAAAGACTAATACTCAAGTCAACAGATACTAGAATATTTTAAGACCAGAGAATTCTGAAATATATTTATTTGCAGATGGTAGCTTCTAAAGCTAGAATGCTTGAGCAGCTTAACAACCCCTGGGAGTATGGACAGAATTCCAGCAGGTTACCTGGGCATTGAAAACTTTCCAAGGAACTGGGTGATCTCTCAGCAGGTGACCCACACACTAGAGAACGTGGCTGATCATCTTTTACCCGAGTTCCAAGACCTAAGTTCCGATGATTGGCAGCTTGAGAAGAGGCCAGAGCAGGAAGAGGTAGAGGGAGAGGNTGGCAGCTTGAGAAGAGGCCAGAGCAGGAAGAGGGGGGGGGGGGGGGGGGGGGGGGGGGGGGGGGGGGGGGGGGGGGGGAGGAGGAGGAGGAGGAGGAGGAGGAGGAGGAGGAGGAGGAGGAGGTTGTTGTTGTGGTGGGGACAATGACAGCTCTTCACTGGATTTAAAGTGTGTTCGGTCACCAACTGGAACAAAAATCTGGACAGGGATATTTCTGTGATAGTCTCGATCCTTGGGGGTTTTCTCAGTACAAACTTCAGGTACGAGAGGAGCGCTTTGGGCCTTCGCAGAGCACGGGRGAGYGGCTGACACAGGMTGAGAAACTGGTGAGGACCTCTGCCGGGGAAGGTCAGCTGGCAGGTTTGGAGTCCCGGGTTCCGAGCAGGATGTCTGCTGTAAGGATTGAACTGAATATTTCTGAAAATAAAACATGGTTGCAAGAAATTTGACACAAATGCAGACTATCAACATGCTGAAACCATCTAAGAACAAATCTGTAAATAAACACTGACATATGCATAGTGGCTCCCCATCCTTTGTCTAGCCTCCTCGCTACTCAATCTATTCTTATGTGCTAAAAAAGAAGCATTTATATTCTTTGACCAAGTATTACCTTCTCTGTAATAAAATGAAGGTATGAATGAATACACAGAGATAAAAATATTCATAATATTCTTAGCATGAAAAGTTAGGAGCTCTACATGCCAACAACAAGAAGTTAGTTGAAAATTATGTCAAATTTATTTAATATAGTAAGCAGCCATGAAAAAGCTGAAATAGTACAAAGCCTGTGAAACACTAAAGAAAAAAATTATGACATTGCATTAAATAAAAACAGCAGGATATAAAAATAATAGGTATTATGATTATAAACATTGGGGTAAAAGGTTTATGAAAAACACAGACATAAAAGAGAATATGGATATTTCTTAACTTTCAGGCTTAGACTAAATTTCATAATTAAAAAAAAATTAACTTTGAAAAGTTCTGCTGTCTTAGGTATTCTTTTGATAAAGAAACATCTAATACTACAAAGAACTGTGGTGGGAAGCTTCCCTAAAGAAGGCACAGATTTGCCAATAAAACAAAATATGTAATACCAAGAAGCCATTAAAGTGAACTAGAGCAACATGAATAAATCTCAAAAACAGAAAGTTAAAGAAGTTAAAGAAACTGGCAAAAAATGCATACAATATGACACTTTTATTTATTTGTTTCAGTACTGCGATTGAACCCAAGGGTGCTCTACCATTGAGTCACATCCCCAGTCCTTTATACTTTTTATCATTGAGACAGGGTCTCACTGAGTGGCTGAGGCTGGCCTCCAACTTGGAATCCTCCTGCCTCAGCCTCCCGAGTTGATGAGATTAAGTCATGTCTCACTGTGCCCAACAATACTACTAATGTAAACTGAAAACACACACATTGGGCAATTTATGATAAACTCAGAGTACTTCTCTCTTTCCCCACATTCTTCTTTCTCCAGGATAAACATCAAAGTAATGGCAACAAGCCCCAGACCTCAATGAGCTTTCATCATACAGTGACTCACATTAAGCTGAAGGAAATTAAATCTTCAAGAYTCTTTCGCTCTGCATTTAAGCCACTCATTCTCTCCCACTCCATTAAAGCCTTCCTATCCACCCTATGCCAATGTACATCTCTGRTACAGGCTATCAAGAACTAAGAAAAGCGTCATTTATCCCAAGTRAGGTCAGCCTGTTAAGATTTTAACTCACTGTTACAGTCTGTTGGGAGCTTAGGAGGCCTGAGTCTGCCATTGTAATCTCTCTACCCCTCGAATCTTTATTCCATCCACATTTGAGAGGCTGAWTTTCCATACTGCCATCCAACTTCCTGACCTGCGGAGTCAGGACCAAGAGGACAGAGTCACTGCCCTTGGATCCCTCCCAGCAGGTTCCATTCCCTGCATTGGTACCCTGGTGGTGGCACGGACAGCCAGCTTCTCTCTATCTGGCTTCACAACCATCTGGGATTCCTGTAGCCCCCCTTCCGTTCATCCTTCCTACTTCGACTCAGGCCTTGATCTGGTACAATGTGAAATCAGGGTCTTTCTGAAGAGCAACGGGAGGAGGAGATCAGGTCTATTTTTAGAGTCAATAAATTCAATTATATTCTTAAATAAGTTCTTATTTACTTTTTTAATTTTAAAAAAAATAAGTTGTTCACTTTTAATAGAGCACTTTCACTACACTTAGGTCATAATGCTTCCTTGGTGACATTTTAAAGAATTCATCACAGCTAAGTGTGCTGGCACATGCCTGTAATCCCAGCAACCTGGGAAGCTRAGGCAAGAAGATCACAAGTTCAAGGCCAGCCTTGGCAACCTAGTGAGGTGCTAAGCAACTTAACAAGACTCTGTCTCAAAATAAAAAATCAAAAAAGGGCTGGAATGTAGTTTAGTGGCAAAGTGCCCCTGAGTCGAATTTATTACAAATGATGGGGAAAGGCCAGTTAAAATTGAGGGCAGTTAAATTATTTTCAATTTTCCCTGCTGGTCTGAATGAGTCCCAGTGGGCACAGCTAGCACCACTGGCGAGGACCAGGGAGTAGGAACCCAACCATGTTGTGCTGTCAATGCACCAGATGTTTTAGCAGGGCTTTGGAAACACTGATATGCCACAAATAATAGTATTTCTGAAGCATTTCATATTCTGAGTCATCTGTTCATAATACTTAAGACTTTTCTCCTAGGATAAGTGATCTGCTTTTATTTTCCCTGAAAAAGTGAGATGATCATTTCTAGAACTTACCTCTTTATAGGCTCTTAATCGCTGGAGTGTTTTCTGGCGTTCTTGGTTTATCCACTCTTTTTTCTTTTGCTCCTCTTCTTTTATTTTGTCTCTTTTCTATATTTAAACAAATGTATTTATAAGGTGCTCAGAATTCTCATTATATGTCTTGAAACACAAGCAAGATGGGTCTTGACAAAGAAAGGGGCTGTGACTCAACGTTACCCACCCACCGTGCCTGTACCCAGCTGCAAGATGGGAAGAGCGAGGGCTGCCGCATCTAGACAACAAAGCCTGGGTTCCCACACGTACAGGCCACAGCGTCACATCATGCAAATACAAAACATTTTCTTTCAGCTACTCACCATTTGAATACTATGATGCTGATGAAAATATCTTGTACTTTCTTCAGCCTGTTGCAATCTGAGCCGATGGTTTTCTTTGCACTGATCCTAATGGAATAATACACATCACCTACATGGTTTTTAATATTACCATGGCTGTGGCATAAAAGATTAAAAGACAAAAGCATTGCATCTGGACTATGGTGTAAGGCATTCATTAATATTAGCTTCTGTTGTGTCTCAAGGGTATTGCCATCCCTACTCGTGTGAGAAGGGCTAATTGGCCGCTTACATGAGTACTTTGTTCCCAGGAGAGAACCTTGAAAGATGAACAAGTGATCCTCCAACAATGAGGGGGCATACAAACAGGCAATTCCCATTTCTTTTTTTTTTATTTTTTTTGGTGCATTATAATTGTACATAACAGTGAATTTTGTTGTTCCATATTCAAAAATGCACATAATTTGGTCAGCTTTGTTCTCTAGTACCTYCCTTTTCTCTCCCCTGGTCGACTTCATCTAGTCTACTGGTATCCCTTCTATTTTCACAAGATCCTCCATTACCACCCTTTTCCTCTCTAGCTTCTACATAAGGGAGAACATATTCAACACTTTCTGAGTCTGGCTGTTTCACTTCATGATAGTCTCCATTTCCATCCATTTACCACAGATGCCATAATTTCACTCTTCTTTATGGCTGAGTGAAACTCCATTATGTAGATACCACATTTTCTTTATCCATTCCTCTGTTGACCGGCACCTAGACTAGTTTCAACTTGGTTATTATGAATTATACTGCTATAAACAGTGGTATGCAAGTATCCCTGYAGATGCTGTCTTTAATTCTTTTAGATAAATACTGAGGCGTTAGCTGGGTCATGTGCTAGTTACATTCTTAGTCTTTTGAGGAACCTCCAAACTGATTTCCATAATCACTACACCTAAAAAATTATTTTTTAAACTATATCTCACCTATGTCTAACCATTAATGTATTAATGCACATGTGGAAAATAATATAATGATAATTCTAACATTTAGTATTGACTATGTCTTAGGTCCCAGCCTCAGTGCCAAGCACTTTATATGCCTTATAACATTTTATTCTCATAATATCCATGAGATCTGTATCATTGCTATGATTTTCCTGTTAACAGATAAGAAGACTGAGCTCAAAAGAGATTTAAGTAATTCTCCTAAGGTCACATGGCTACCAAGTGGCCAAACTGTGACTTCAACCCAAGTTGGACTCTGGAGGCTGATCTCAGCTCCCACCCTGTGGACCCAGTGCCATCTAAATTCCAGCATTGTCACAGCCCAGTGGCAAGAGCTTCCTAACTGGGGCAGGGAGGAAGGGATGATCTGGAAGGTGAAGGTCAATGTTCCAAGTCTATCCTGCCAAGGAGGTGGAGGCACCGCTCCATCTCGCCATGGTCTTACAGTACCATGGAGGGCCGAAAGGGACTGCCCAGTGTCCACAGTGTTCTGAAATGTGGAGCAAAAGGCAAACACCTGTGAATCTTCAGACATCTGAAGGACAGCTCCTAAATCTAGAAGCTACAGTTCTTAATCATAGACCTGCAAAGGACATATTCYAGCAATTTTTTTTACAAAATCATTTGTATTTTCCTGAAAGAGCAATATAGAAAAGATGGCACGATGTTCATGTTTTTTTAAATTCAAATAAGAGAAAAAAAATATGAGTAATTCCATGAAATAGAGCTTTCTTTTCTGTTGGAAAAAGTAAATCTCTTTATGTTATTATTTTAGTAATCATGCAGTTTTTAAAAATTAAGAAATAACCACTCAGCAAATATAAGGTCGATGAGCTGAATATTGCATATATGATTGATTTTTTTGTAATACATAATTTATAATAAAATATATTTTAGAATTTGCTACAACTGATTATTAGAAATCCTAGCATGATTTTAAAAACAGCTGTATATACAGTGGGCATTCAACAAATAATTGTTGAATGAGTGAATTACAATCTGGAGATTATGATAAATGCTTAAATCCCCAAAGAAACAATTTAAAAAAATAATATTTAAAATATATTTGATGGGAGCCATTGTTATCTACAAACACAAAAATTAATCACTGTTTGGTTAAAAAAAAAAGTCTTATTTTTCAATACCTCTCTCTCTTTTATAAAATAAGAAATCCCCTTCTTGGAAAGCTGGGAATGGAACCACCATTTGACCCAGCTATTCCCCTTCTCGGTCTATTCCCTAAAGACCTAATAAGAGCATGCTACAGGGACACTGCTAAATCGATGTTCATAGCAGCACAATTCACGATAGCAAGA